CCAGGGAGGTTTGGGAGCCAACTGCCTCTGAAATTCAACACGAGGCCGCGGCGGGGATGACGTTAGGGAAATCTGTCCCCCTGCAATCGCAGACGCGTCCTTGCAGCCCCCCCGGGCAGGCGCCGTTCCCGTGCCTCGCAGAGAGGCCGTCCCAAAGAGGCCCCTTGCCTCCCAGCCATTTCTTACCTGACCAGGTTTGGGTAGAACTGCCTGTCCCAGGCGCTGTAGAAGGAGTTGGTGACGTACAGCCTCTTGCCATCCAAGCTGAGCTGCATTTTACTGGGGGCGCCGTACACTCTCTTGCACTGAAGGCACAACAGAGCCGTGATGGTACCGGCTGCTTTCTTTCAGCAGCCAAGCACAAGCAACCCCGGGCGCAGAATCGGCAGAGCAGAGCCAAAGCCCAGAGGACACCGGGGGGCAAAGGGGACGCAGAACTCACCTTGACCACCAAGGGCTCCGGCTGGCACTGCAGCTCTTCGTCTCGACACACCGCCACGGGGCCGCCTCTGACGATGCTGCCTCCCACAAACACCTGTAAGCGAGGCGGAGGGAGACGTGTGGCCCTGCTGTCCAACCGCCTCCCAATCCTGCTCAGGATCCCAGCAGCGCCCGCCCTTCTGCTCCTGCCTTACCTGGCCCACCAGCCTGGGCTTGCAGGTTTTGGAGAGCTCGTACTGGCGGATGTCTCCGTGCCACCAGTTGCTGAGATACAGGTACCTGTCGTCCATTGAGATGATGAGGTCGACCGTGAAGGCTAGGGCACAGAAACAAGGAGCTCCAGAGGGGGCGGCATCAACACAAAACGCGCCTCGCACCCAGCCCCAGCTCGCATCTCTCCCGGACATTCCGGGCCGCCTGCCTCCAGCGCAGGAGACCTGCCCAAGTGCCCAGGCTCCAGCTGCGGCAGCGCTGTCTTCCTGGGGGTGTGCACAGCCCCCCGGCCCCTCCGACAAGCCCCACGTCGTCTTTGCACAGCAGGGCTTTGAGGGTCAGCACTGGGCTTGGCCGAGCCACACAACACCGCGCTCCGGGGGGAATAAGGGAACACCAGCTCAGGGCAGACCAACCTGGCATCCTGTTCATAATCCATCCCGTCACCTCCTTGTCCGGTATCCGAATCACCTCCTCTATCGCCCAGTTGTCCCTCTGCACAAGAAACACCGGCACCGCACCGTGAGCGCTCCCCAGCCCTCGCACAACATCCCAGTTGGTCACGACGGGCTCCCGGAACGCTCCGTGGAAGAACAGGCTCCGCTCTCTCCAGCCTACACGTCCAAAGCAGGCTCTGGGTGCTGCCCGCCCCACGCCTCCCCCTTCCTCTCTGCGGCCCCCTGTTATTTCTGCACCTTTCTCCACCCCCCGTAGCTCACCACGGCCGGGTCTCCCCTGCCCGCTGGCACAACACTTGCCTCGCACTTGTAGAAGCGGTAGACGATGCCGCTCAGGGCACAGCAGACGTATCCCTCAGCAGCATTGGGGTCGTGGAGGAATTTAACGCAGAGGGGCAGAGAGTCCTCGCCCAGGTCAAAGCACTGGATGAGAGTGTGGCAGGACAAGTTCCACACATTCAGTCGGCGCCCAAAGATCCCTGAGGAGAAGGAAAACCAGGTCAGGAGAGAGGGGGCTGCCCGTGAGACGCATCCCCCCCCAAAATGCTCACAGACAGGGACAGCCATGGCAGCC